TATATTAAATGGCACAGAAAAAAAAAGAAATGAACCACAATCATCAAAAAAGAATCTAAAAGATTACCGGACTCGAAATGGACTTGGACTCGGTCCTTAATGTTAGGGACTCGAACTCGGACTCGGAATAAATTTTTGAGGACTCAGACTCGGCTCAGACTCGGTCCCTCCTAAACTCGCCCATGCCTGCAACCAATGACTGGAAACATCGTCTTTCATCCGTTTCTTTCCACAGAATCTCCCTGGCGGACAATCGATCAAGGACAAATGTCGTTATTCTTCCGTTCTGTCCCTGATCGAATGCACGAGTTTCCATAATTAACACTGACAGATGCAAATAACTCGAGAAGACAATCTCTCTTCAGGATGAAGATGTTCACCTAAATAAAAGGTTGATGCTACTCTTCGAACTTGTGTCGATTCTGTCGACATGACGTGATTCGAAGAACATCAGATTCGACAACTGATCGAAAGAGAGCTGGACTTTGTTACACATTTATCGATAGATTAAAAGAACAGTTCATCAACACAAATCTCTTTCATCGATCAATTTGTTCTTTCTCAATGAGAGAATGTCGCTGATCAACCAAGTCAAACAATTTAACCACGTCGTTTCTCCTTCGAATATGGTGCTGCTCTTTCTTTCCTCTGACACTTTTGAAAACTCGACGAACGTCTACATCAACGAACATTTCTATTGACCACGGAGCAGCTAGTGTTCGATTAACAACTTATTTCTCTCGAATTGATAGAGAGAACGTTGACGAACGATCTCGGGTGTGATATTCTCGATCAACTTCAATAAAGAATTTCCCACAATGGTCAGGTATTTGTCGACCTGCTGGCCGATCTCTTAACAAGGCATTCTTTCAGCGAGCGAATGAGGAGCGGCGCGCCCGTGGGATCTCATTGTGCGAGAATGAAGAAGAAGAAATCGATCAAATATTTTACTCGAATCACAATTCATTGTGGCTCATTGATCATTATTAAGTCTACTGTAGGCTAGAATTCTAGCTTGTCGACATCGAGGTTGCTGGTTCCCGTAACCCCTTTGAGCTTTTTTGCAATGGTTCAGATAGCTTTGGGAAATAAACTTTTGAAATTTTTTATTTTTGCGCTATCCGCTTACTAACCGATCAAGAAGTCTACATTGGATATTTTATTCATTTCGATGGTCTGAACAGAAAACCATGGATTCTCTTCTTATCCTTTGAGTGTCTTTTGTACCGTATGCCCCAACGGACGATAAGCCCATGGGGCATCATGAATCATGTATCGTATGAGTCATCTATAGAGAGAAAACAAAAGTGGATTTGATGCGCATGCCCCCTTTGTTTTCTTCCGCTCGAAATCGATATCTTCGCACCGAGTACACCTGAATAGCTGCTTTCATTTGCGTAGCAAATATTCGATAAGAAAATGGAGAATGGCACACTTTGTTGACTGTCAGCAGTGGGTTTTTCCAACTTTCAAGAAAAATAGCACAAAGTTAATCCCAGGTGAACTGACGAGGAATCAGCAAGTGTTGTCATCCATGCCATGACATGTTTTACGTTTTTACGAAAGTGAATTCTTTAGACACTACTGTGCAGAGTAACCAACAACAGTGCTAATAAATTCTCTTATGTGTCTTCTAATCTGAAAGCAATACAGACTCCGTACGGAGTCCTCAGAATTTCGTGTATCTAAAAGTACAAAAATAATAAAGACTTCGTACAAAAGAAAAGGTTTTGTGTGCATACAAAGAAAATTGTCGAGGGTTTCGTAGAAAAAATGGTTTGTGTTTTCGAAATCAATTCCTGATTCACTTTGATCACGAAAAACAGATAAACGCTATCGAAATGAAAATGATTCAAGTGACAATCATTAATAAGTGTTCGTTTGAGACTATACATCAACGGATAAGCATAATCTAATATCGATCAATCAGAGTCTGAAATGTTGTTTGACCAACAGAATCCAGACTGATTCGACCAATAAAAAAGAAATGTTCTTCGAAGATGATTTATAGATTGAAGTGAAGGATAGAAATGGATTCTTTAAATCAATATTTGATTTGATCTTGTGTCGTATGAAAGTTTTTATGGTGAGGAAATAAACAAATGAGAAGTACTTTTCAAACTTTGAATTCAACGATTGAATCGAAAATTAGATGCACCCTTTTAAACGAAAAAACGGGACTGACTGCAAGCATCGAACTATATTTTTTAGAAGTTGTTCGAATGAAATTCTATGTCACGTTCGAAATTGAGAAGAATAAATCCTATCGAAAACGAGATTCAATTGAAAACGTCATATTTGTCAGTCAAGTCCTAAATTTTTGAAAGAAAATTTGAAAAGATCAATTGGTAAAAAGTAAATCAACCAGGCTTAATGAATATTGAAAATAAATTAAAATGATACTGTGTTGAAGACATCGACCCTGTGACCAACCGGGATGCACCAATTCCTGATTTGTCGAATCAAAAATGGTATATTTGTGGCATCTAAACCCCCCCGTTCCAGCCAAGTCTTCTGGCGAGTCATTTTGTTTACCTTAATCATAAAAATTCTTATCATTTCGTCGCTAGTAAATATTTTCTTGTTGATTTCTCTTCCATTTATTCTTGCGTAAATATTTGAATGAAAGCCGATCATTTTTAAAATTTTTATTGACATCGTATAAAATATATTTTATACTCCTGCACTTATACACGTCTCTGAGAACAGCTCACACACATTGAAATCTGTTCACAGTCAAGAAAACGATGACGACGAGTACTAATACTGCGGCAAACAAGATTACAAGTAGTTCAAGCATTTCGGATATAAAGATTCGGATATCAAAGGTCTGGAAGATTGCGTTGAACTCGGTGAATCAACTGATGCGTTACTCAATAACAAAGGAGACAATGATGGCGATAGCGAGGTGCCACGCCTGGTTAAGCGTGTTAAAATTGAGCTTGGCAAAGTAAGAAGCTTAGAATTATGAATGCCAATTATTGCACCCATGAAAGCTGGTAAATCAACTATTATCAATGGGATTCTCGGACAAAAACTATTGCCAACTCGTAATACAGCTATGACAGCGATACCAACTGAAATTGTTTTCAACATCATTAGTACACAAGAATCTGACGGCGGTTCATATCTCACCTTGAATAAGAAATTCATCGATGAAATAATCCGACTTCAATCATCTAGTCATAGTTATCTTCAAAATCATTCTGACAGTTTACAAATGATATCATCGTCTTATCCACATTTATTTGAAGTAGCTCAAGAGCTTCACAATGTATCTGCGTCGTTTCGTACATTACCGGAAAAAACATCTGGCGTCAAACAAATTTGTGAAAGTTTAGCATTTATCAATGATGTTATTCGTCTTCACGAAAATTTGCCTGGAAATACTAACTCTGGACATGAACCATTCGAACTCTAGGAGGATACATGGGTGCAGGACCGCGAAGCATACTAATCTGCGCCATGGATCCGGCTACCTTCAACACCACGTGTGCCTGAGATTGTGTGGACAACGAAACGAAGTTTAGGGTCTCCCAGTGAGCAAATGGATACTTGAAGTGTTTCACCTCGGGCACCCGGATTAGGATGATTGATGGTTTCAATCGTTCCTTTAGCGTAACCACACACCTCACGAAATTTCTGTGTCGCTTCAGGAACAGTATTCGAACAGAAGAAATTGTTGTCGAGTAAATAGATTGCACCATAGCTCATCGAAAAGATGCAAATCCTTCCAAGATGAACGCATGCCTTCATACATTTCTGCACTAAATACTGTACAACTATGATGATTGTTGCTTAAAGTACGTTATGAAGGTTTAAGCTTTTTCTTTTTCTCCCTTTTTTCGTCAACCACGACAGCTAGAATAATACTAAAGAATGCTATGAGCAGCTGAAACATTTTTCTATCCGACGAGGCGTATACAAAACATTTCTCAAAAAATGTTTAAAAACCAGGATTTGGGAAAAATCTAAAGACCTACTTTGAAGTTTCCTAGCTTCTATCGGTAGTTTTGTGTTAATAGTTTAGTTACAGAGAATAAACATTTCTGGGGAAAACAAGATGTCTCCAAGCTCTCCACAACCTTTTTTGATCCAGTTGCATTATATTTACGAGAAGCCACCCAAGACATTTCTGCTGCTCTTTTGCAGCTTTTTCCAGTTTTCTATCCGTTCGGTATTTTGCCAATAAGTCTGTTAAACTAATTAAGGTTCGAAACAATGTACTATAGCTTATTTTGTAGCCTCTTCAATTCTGTATTTTCCTAAATACAAACTATTCGTAATTTCTACTTGTGAAAGAAACTGTGATTATTTTTATATATCACTATGGGTAAAAATCGAGATATCTATCCAGTATTTAGCCAATAAATCTATGAGGGCAAAGTTTTACAACAAAATATTGTAGTTAGTTTAAGCTATTTTATTTCAAATTAGTTACAGAACTTTAACACTAACAACTCGACAAGTCATTATATGTTAGTATTGGTTCTGATCTATAATCATTATGCCACGTAAACACACACAAAAAAAAAATATGTAAAATGAATAACAAATAAGAAAGACACAAAATAGTGGAACAAATAAATAGATGAATAAATAATATGATAATAATACGTAGGTGGAAAAAGAGAAGGTGAGTTTTTAAAATGCAGTATAAAATTACATTTTAAAACGAGAAATGAAAAATTAAATAATAGTAGAGAGATAGTACATACATTTATATATTTAAAATTTGTTTTGGTGTAAAACGTTCAGTTTCATTGATGAAAGTGATAACAGATTTGTATATTTTATTATAGTGATCGAAAGAGAGGGAAGTAGTCTTTAAAAGAAGGAGATTCACATTAATACGCAGGTCAGAATCACATTCATATATTTTATCAAAACGTTTTTTTCGAGCGATAGTGTAGTTCTTGCAGTGCAAAAAGAAGTGTTTCACCGTTTCAAGTTGAGAGCATAGACAAAATTGCGAGTTTGGTCTCTGTACAATATTTCTGCGCCATAGATCATATCCGAGGGTAGAAAAGTCTGTGCGCATTTGATGGTACACAATGTCATCGCTTCTATTTACGTTTTTTATAATTGGTCTTTTCTGTGGTATTATTGTTGAACGATACCATTCTTTCTTAAATTTTTTGACTGATAACAAAACTCTTAATCTTAATTCTAACTGATTCCATTTTTTAATAGTAGATGGAAAAAAGGAGACATCATAAGATTTTGTTTGGTTAGCTGGTATTCGT